GAGATGAGCAGCAGCGTCTTTCTAATAACGATTAAAATAAAAAAATGAGGTTGCCAACCCCATGAAATGCAATTGTAATAAATTACACGCGGACCAAGTCCCGGGGTACAGCTGTTATAATGTTAAAAGACAGTACAAAAACATGCTTAAATAACGGAGGAATATAAAACACAAATTCGTGTGTTTAACCACTGTTAATTTAATTTTAATAGACAAAGACGTAAACGAACATTCAGCTACAGTGTTTTGTAGTGTAGTTTTACTGTAGTGATAAACATTATCTGTGTTATTTACAATTGATGTGGTATTTAATCGTTTCTAAACATTTTGTATGTAATACTATTTAATAAATAATATATGTTAAATAATAATATGTCAAAATGTCGGCAGCCCGCTTTATACGGTCTCATAAAGATAACGATTGTAAAAATATATAATTGCTGTACTTATACCCCACTAGTTGTAATTACTTTATTAATTTATTGTGGTAAAACACTCAGCGATATAGATATACGAAAAATAAATATATTCTAAATTTATTTCTATTGTTGTGTAATAAGGGTGACAAACGATTGTCAGCCTAATTCTATAATAAGTAGATTACATTTTAATACCATTACTGTTCATGAGACAATTTTAACATACAATTCTCTGAAAATACAGCTCTCTGTAAATCATTTGATCTTTTTTTTATTAACTGGATTTACGGCTCTAGGTTCTAGCCCTTCTGAGCTTGAAGTTACAATGTATAATTATAGATTTTGACGGCAACTTCAGCCAGCAGACAGCTGACAGTTGGCGATGGTAACTCAAGGCGCCTAAGCAGACAGACCCCTTATCTTGAGGATCACATCACCATCAGAGCACTTGTTTTACCATTTCCACTAATAGTTCACATGCACAGACACTTAATACACAAAATCGCACCACTTTTCAAATTACCACATATCAAATTCCACTTCGAACCATTATTTTAGAAATAATACCGGAGCAGCAATCCGTCGCCGGTCAAGTTCCCGCCAAAATTCCTCATTTGAGCTTTTGCGTTAATATGCACAGAGAAGAGCTTAACAATTACGTCAAAGCTTCTATATTATATCCATAACTTTAATTTGATTTTACATAGATGCTCATGATTTGTTTACAAATCACTCTGGGTGTTGTGGATCTCTGTCTCTATCTATCTCTGTCTTTCACTAACCTCTAAAATGAAATGGTAAAATAGTCTATGGTCCATATCATCCACTTACCATCAGGTGGAATATGTACCCGTTTGTCACCATTAATCTACAAGAAAATAAAACTGAGATGCAAGCATTGCGATCTCGTTATCGTCCTGCAGCGTCCCGCGCCGACCCTTGACACGAGGTGTAAAAATATCAACTCACCTTCGACTTCTTTCTAAATGATAGCCTGAAACTAAAGATTTCACTCGAACCTTAGTTACAGAATCTTATTGATTTTATCAATGTTGCAAATGTAAATTCATGGAAAAAGTGTAAGCAATAGTTGCCATAGTTGCCACGCTTGGCAAGCGGGCTGGCAACCGCAGTTTTTTTATTTTTAGCCTTTATTAGGAAGACGTTGCTGCCCATCTCTTGATTTTTTTCTCTGAAATGATGCTTTTTTTGCTCCCTTAATTTTTTGAGTAGCTTAATATCTAATCGGTAATGATCGGTAAAATGTATAAGTCACAGTCGTAGTCATAGTCTGTTAAAATGTTGGCTTGGCTAAAGCTAATATGTCTTATATCAGACTTTCCAAAAGAAGAGGAGGCACTTAATTTTTTTTATTTTTTTTTATAAGAGAGGGGGCAAACGAGCATGCGGCTCACCTGATGGTAAGTGACTACCGCCGCCCATGAACAACCGCAACACCAGGGGAATTGCAGATGCGTTGCCGGCCTTTTAAAAAGGAGTACGCTCTTTTCTTGAAGGTCCCTAAGTCGTATTGGTCCGGAAAAATCGCTGATGGTAATCGATTCCACAAGGAAGTCGTGCGAGGAAGAAAATTTTTTATAGGATAGGATGACAAACGAGCACACAGTCCACCTGATGGTAAGTGGTTGCTGTGGCCCACAGACATCTACATCTATCCTGCTTTGCGAATCAAAATGCAGATGCGTTGTCAACCGTGAGGACTAAGATAGAATGCCTCTTTTCCAGTAAAATAGGTCTCCGGTTCTCTACACTCACCATACGAAACACGGCAGCATTAAGCTGCTATTTTACGCTGGTATTCTGTGAGAGCGTGGTCCTTCCTGGTCGAGCCGACCCATTCGTGCTACAACTATACTACTAATATAGCTGCAGCATGGCTCTACCACGTATAAAATTAAATAGCTAGTCTCCGTTGAGACTCGCCCCGTGACGGAAATTCGGTCTGGAGGACATACATACTATACTATGGTTTCTTTTTTGATGTCATCATCATTAATCATCATTCATTAATAGTTATTAATAGTGAGGGATCGTGGAAGCGTAATTAAAACTTTCTTCAATTAAATTGCTCGAGCACAGAGGTTACCTAGCTCAGATGATCGATGTTCGCTGGATCCAATCGCTCTACGATAATCTATCAAAATAGATTGTGTGCTTCAACGTAGCGTTTCTGTTTATGATAAAAACTCCGACACGTGATTATAACAGTCAGTTTTTATAGCCATGTTTTTGATAGATACAAGACTAGACTGAACTATATTTTTATTTTGATTCCAATGAACATACAAAAATATAAAAATTGGGATAGTGATGCAAGTAAAGTAACTTAAAAATTAAAAAAAAAAAACCTCCGAAACAAAAAGAGCTGATGAAAGATTTTCTTGAATCATAGCTAAGAAAACTCGATCAAGTCACCTTTCAAACAATAAAAAAAAACTAAATCTAATTCAGTTAATACGGACGGGAGCCAATCTACTAATCAAATTACTACAATGTCACAGACAGGCACACAGATACACGCGTTAAATATATAACACCGCTTTGTTTGAGTGGGGGTTTAAAAAGGTAGGAAGCGTTCGTTTTTGTCATTTTAAGATTTTGAGTGACGCCCCTTTCAGCTCACGCGGTTATCACTAGCGGTGAAAGGGAGTTCTAGGTGTAGGCGAAGGCGTTCAGACCAACAGAGAAAGACTCTTTATAGGATATGGTGACAAACGAGCACACAGTCCACCTGATAGTAAATGGTTGCTGTGACCCATAGACATCTACATTTGTCCTCAATAAAGAATCAAAATGCAGACGCGTCGTCACCCGTGAGGACGAAGTTGGAATGCCTCTTTTCCTGTAAAATGAGTTTCCGATTCTCTACACTCACCATACGAAACACAGCTGTGTCAAGCTGCCATTTTACGCTGGTATTCTGTGAGAGCGTGGTCCTTCCCCGGTCGAGCCGAACCATTCGTGCTACAACTATATTACTAACATAGCTGCAGCATGGCTCTACCATATACAAAAAGACGTCACCAGACTGAACTTCTTTACTCGTACTTAACCGGACATTTTTCTTCTTTCTTTTTTTATTAGCTTGTTGAAGTCTATTGCTGGACGCGCACAAATATTTGTATGTGTGGATAAGATCGCTTAAATTAAAATAAATCCACCGTTGGAATTACTACTGGTAAGGCCAAATATTCAAATGCTACTCAATTTTAAGATGCTGATAAGTCTCGTGCTGTCTCTATCACTATAAGTCAAAGTGACTGTGACACCACGATACTTAACGTCATCTTAAAATTGAGTAGCATTTGAGTATTTGGCCATTTATCACGTAAGCGTTAAACGCACGTTATGAATCAAAATGCAGCACAAAGCTGGTTTAAGAATTTTCAGCCCGGGAATTTTGTTGTTTATACGTGGTAGAGCCATGCTGCAGCTATATTAATAGTATAGTTGTAGCACGAATGAGTCGGCTCGACCGGGGAAGGACCACGCTCTCACAGAATACCAGCCTAAAATAGCAGCTTAATGCTGCTGTGTTTCGTATGGTGAGTGTAGAGAACTGAAGACCTATTTTACTGGAAAAGAGGTATTCTATCTTAGTCCTCACGGCTGACAACGCATCTGCATTTTAATTCGCAAGCGAAGATAGATGTAGATAGATCTCTATGGGCCACAGCAACCACTTACCATCAGGTGGACTGTGTGCTCGTTTGTCACTCTAATTCTATAAAAAAAGCTCGCTCTGTTCACCCTCATTCGGATAAAGTCGATGCCATTTTTGAAAAAAAAAGTGGAGCAAGATCGGCATAATCGTAGTTACGACACAGCCGGTAAATTGAGAATTGATCACAAAACAGTTTTGACCCAATTGAAAAAGTCTAGTTGTAGTGGATATGTGGCTCATAGGCACGTTATGAATCAAATGGCAGATTGTTGCGTTGTTACCGCTGAGGACTGGGATGGAATGCCTCGTTTATAGTAAAAGGGTTCTAGAAGTTATTGGGATTTCGTGCCAATACATTCTCAATAGCAGCCGGGAGTCAGAAAGTCGGTGGTGTTTCATCCACGTGCCCTTTTTAAGCACGAAAATCCGTAGCACTTTCGATTGATCTCTTTCCGGTCGTGTCGGATTGCGTGGCAACCTGTTTGTTTTAGATCTTGTATAAGACACTATAATGGTGTAATATATTTTTTTATAGAATAAGGGTGACAAACGAGCAAACAGTCCACCTGATGGTAAGTGGATGCTGTGGCGTACGTCTACATTAATTTATCTCCAACTAATAAACAAAATGCAGATGGGTTGTCACACCTGAGGACTGAGATGGAATGCCTTGTTCTAGCAAAAAGAATCTCCAGTTCTCTACACTCACCATACGAAACACATTTAGCTGCTGTTTTACACTGATGTTCTGTGAAATCGTAATGCTACTCCGGTCGAGCCGACCCATTCATGCTACAACCATAATATTGCTGCAGCGTGGCTCTACCAAGGCTAAAACCATTTTAGCTTAGATGTTCGTTTGGGTAGCCCGTTTATTAAGTCTTTATCGCGTGCAGGTACAATCGCGGCTGTCGGGGCTGGTGATATGCGGCGCCACGCTATCGCGAGTCGGCGAGACGTTCTCCCGCGAGCTGGAGCGTGGACTCCGCCAGCTGCCATCCAGCTTACAGATGGAAAACACATACGTGCCCGAATTGCCTGATGGCACAGGTAATTTGTTTTATTAGATATAATAAGTCGGGGAAAAAGTTTCTTCATATTTTGTTTGTATAAAATGAAAGTAATATCTCTTTGATTGTACTGTTTGTATCTGGCTGGTTATAATATTAATTAAAAAGAAAAAGAAAAAATACTTTACCGATATTGTTCAATTGTTTTTCTGTCCGCCAAAATGAGGGAATCTACTGAAGAAATTCGATACATTCTGAAGTTTTATTACAAAAATGGGAAAAACACGACATAAGCCGCGAAAATATTTGTGACGTTTATAGATCAGTTGCAGTGTCAGTAGGTTCAAGAGTTTTCAGTCCGGGAATTTTTATGTTCAAAATGCAGCTCGCTCTGGTCGCCCTCATTCGGATAAAGTCGATACCATTTTTGAAAAAGTGGAGCAAGATCGGCATATTCGTAGTTACGACATAGCCGAGAAATTGAGAATTGTCCACAAAACCGTTTTGACGTGTACCTGCTGTCCTACCATATGTCACAGGTGTCACAGACAAGATTGACTACATCTTGAAGCGAGTTTCTAATAGAACATTCATCAAGCCGCCGAAGAAATTAGTCCGTTCTTACCATCCGTCAAGTGCAATATTCTTCTACAAGATGCAGGAGTGTACAAGCTTGATTGTGAATGTGGCCTCGTAAATATAGGGCAAACAAAGCGATCTATCAAAACCCGCATAGCTGACGTGAAATACCTACGTACCGGGAAGTCTGCAGTTTATGATCATATCTTAGACGGCCCCCGCCATTACATTAGATTTGATAAACCACGCGAAAGAACATAAATCGATGCTCTTTCTGCCAAGGATGATACGTGAGGCTATTGAAATAAAAAAAAAAAACATCTTAATTTCAATAGAGAGGGAGGCTGGGTACTACCACCTGCTTGAAATCCTGTAATTAATAAAATTGAAACTAAACCCAAGCATACCACTGCCAGACTTCAAGACACAGTAAGTTAATTCTACGTAGATCGGATCAAAATAAATAATTCAAAAAGCTGAAGGTACTCCGGGTTAATTCTGATATCGGGACATCAATCACCTCAGTCCCCCGAGACCATGGGTGCTGTAAAGTACTCAAGACGTTTCGGGTACTTCAATAAAAAATAATAATTGAACGCGATAGAATCCGTAAAGTAATCTTGTATGTTCTTGTTGCATGACCAATATTTACTTTCATAAAGAATCCTTACAAGGACTATCTACTTGCATTATTGGCAAAATTAGTGGCAGAAATTGTTTCATCCGCAAATAGATTGCTTTGATTGAAACATGACGTGGGGGGAACAATAACCTAACATAACTGACCGGATATCACTTGCTGAAAACTAGATGGCGTTGAATTGAACCAATCTTTATTATCAAAATGATCATGAGTATTATTGAGTACTTAATCAATAAGTAGACGTACTGAGAAAATATGTCATGCAAAGTAAGATTTTGGATTGTCATATGAATTTTATTTCATAGTATTGTCATTCACAACATATTCGACTCCAAAGACTCAGTAATTCCTTCATTGGGCAATGTATAGCCACAGAAAATATGCAGGCTTTATCTATGGAAAAGTTTAAAAAACTTATTTAGCAAAAAGGGTTATTATCAATTATGAACTCTTTAGTTATTATACTACTAAAGAGTCCATGACTGATAATAATCCCTGGGAATGAGCTGATCGCTACCGTGCTGTTTCTAAATGTTTTCATATTTAATTGTATAAAATATTATATTGTAAATAAAACAATATTCCACTGGGTTTCTTTCTGGTTCTTCTATTATTCCGAACCTGTGGACCCGTGGTAAAGTTTAAATGACTTTCAAAAAGTATTTTTGTAATCTATCTATACGAATAAATAAAATTAAATGGTCTGTTTTGAATGTCAAAATTATAGCTTTTTACTCAATGCATATGAAAATATATACGGCACTTATAACAAAAATACAATTTAAAAAAATTGTCTGTCTGTCTGTTTGTTCCGGCCAATCTCCGAAATGGCTCGACCGATTTTCATTGGCAGATAGCTGATGTCATAAGGAGTAATTTAGACTACTTTTATTTTAGAAAAAAAAACGGTTCCTCCAAATTACACGCGGGTGAAGTCGCGGGAAACAGCTAGTATTGAATAAAAATGATTCTCTTCTAGTCTATAAGTAAACCGAGATTAATTCCCACTAGGCTGGCACTAATGTTATCTTTGCTTGCAATTTTAAGACACGTGGCCAAGTGTTCCAAGTGCAATAGGTATTTACGTGCGATTCGAAGCGATCGAAAATCACTTGAAAAACCGATAATTTTTTTAATAAATATGATGAAAAAAAACGATCAGGTAGAATCGATTCCAAAATGTATCCTATGAATTGACATTATTAATAGAAAAAGGGAGTATTAGTACGTGTTCAAAAGCTTGTAGAAAAACTGCAAATCTAACTTTGTTCGGTATTTTTGAAAATGTATTATCTTGAATTGACTGGGTCTATCGTAAAGAGAAGAATGTACCGAAAATATTTTTTTTTTAAGTTTCTTAATGTAATAATTTGCCTATCATAAACCAACTTTAAAACGGATAAAACAAGAACACCCTGCCTTAACTCACCACCAACCACTCACCAACAACTCAGGACCAATTTTTATCTGATTTTGACAATAACGTCAATTTTATAGTAGAGGCACGCTGCTGCTAAATTATTGCGAATGTTTCGGTGCGACTGGGGTAGGACCACTCTTGCAGTAAATACTAGCGTAAATTAGCAGCGTAATGCCGCTGCTTGCTGATAATGTGTGCTGAGAGTAAAACACCGAATAATTTTTCTGCATATACTCGTAATGATGCATTCCATCTTTTTAAATTAATTTTTAATTGGGCCACACCGCCATAATATCTAAATAGCATCTGATGGCCTGCGTCCTTGTTTGTGACGCTTACTTGTATACAATAATATAAAATATACTTGTAACAACAATGAATTAGAAGAAGTGAACAGCGTCATTGGTGTTGAAAAATATGGTAGTTTACACGATGCTAACAAAAACAATAAATCTGATTATGATGTATATTGGTCGACTAGCAATAATACTACCAACAGGAACGATTTTCAGGCATAATATCAAATGAAACCGTATAATGCAGCAGATCGACGTATCAGTATGCCGTTTCAAAAGTCAAAACTGTGTAGTAGACATGTGATAAATAATTTTATGGATGCACTAAGAGATCATTCTTCATCGACAAGCAGTTCAATTGAAAAGCAATAAAGAGAACAAATGTCTCTTCAAAGTATCAACGACTTCATCAGCGGAGAGCTATTTGCGGCACGAGGAGACAGTGCCAATTCAAACTCATCGGCGCCTCCATGATTGATATCACCTTACGACCTAGTAATTGATACTAGGGTGACACTGAAAGTTCTTAGAAAATCAAATACTTAACAAACTAGCAAGTTATTAGTTTTATTATATGTTTTCAAAATAGTGTCCATTTCCATCAATACATCGCTGCATCCGACGGAACCACTGAGAAAAGCACTTTGCCCACTTGTCCTTAGGGGTATCTTCGACGGCATTTTGAAACGTAGCCACTGCTTCCGCGGCGTCCATAAAACGTTTTCCTCGAAGTTTTTCTTTTATTTTCGGAAATAAATAAAAATCGCAAGGTGCAAGGTCGGGGCTATAGGGCGGGTGAGTAAATCCACGTCTGACGTCGCCAAGTAGTCGATTGTTTGCTTGGCGGTGAGCGACGAGGCGTTGTCGTGGTGAACGAGGATCCTACTGGGAGGTCGTTTTACCCGAACTTTTTCCAAGACAAGTGGCAAACAATTGTTAGTGTACCACTCTACAATAACTGTTTTTCGATCCTCTAAAGTAATTGTTGCGTAATGACCTGTCCTTCCGAAGAACGAAGCCACCATCTTTTTCCTCACGTTTCGACCTCTCTTCACTTTAGTTGGCAACTCCTCGGAAGGAAACACCCAGACAGCAGACTGTCTCTTAGTTTCAGGGTCATAACAATAAATCCAGCTTTCGTCACCCGTACGTATGTCAAACGCAGCATTTGAGTCACCTCCGTTAAATCTTTGAATCATTTCCCGACACCAATCAACACAACGGATTTTTTGGGCCTCTGTCAAATTATTAGGTATCCACCGGGCACAAAGCTTCCTGACCGCTAAATGTTCATGGAAGATTTTGTGCACTTGACTCATACCAATGCCTAAGCTTGTCCGAATCTGCTGATAAGTCACTCTTTTGTCAGTCTCTATCATACGCCTCACAACACTGACGTTATCTTCAGTCGCCGCCGTAGAAGTCCATCCCTCAGGAAGATCATTGGTGAGATTAGTGCGACCTCGTTTAAACTCATTAAACCAGTTGTAAACAGTAGCACGAGATGGGGCTTCGTCGTGAAAGGCCAATCAAAGTCTATCATAACTTTCTTGTTGACTTAAATGACATTGAAAGTCATAAAAAATCATTGTACGAAAATTTTCTCGCATTAAATTCATGCTGACGTGATACAGACAATTTTCAATTTGCCGCCAAATCGTAAATAAATGACGAAAATAATAAAATACACAATAATATTCGGAAAGATGTCCATTTTCAAAATTCGAACTTATTTTTTTATTATATCGTGGCCAGTTCTAAAAACTTTCAGGGTCGCCCTCGTAAATGAACTGGTGCTCGAAAAACAAATACAAAACTGTGAATGTTGTAATAAGGGATATCTTGAATAATATTAGTGAACTGATAACCTTTACATATTTACTTATTTTTAATTGATATTACAATAATAATTCATTTTTTTTCTACACTTACTCAACTAGTCATATCATCAGTGACCTCGGTTCCCCAGCTCTTTGGACTTATTTCTTTAATTCTTTCCCTATACCATATTTATTTTAAGACTTACCTAGTCTTACCATTTTCTATCTCCCATTCATTTTGTCCTCATATTTATTTTGGTTTGGATCTGTGTTAACGATTGTATGACTGTTTAAATTTTGAAACTAAGTACCTAATTTGGGGCAACAGCATAACCTAAGTAAAATATCATTGCGGTCACCAACATGCCTGTCGAACTTAGTAACTATTTCGAAACTCATTCTTATGGGATACGCATCCGTTTTTTTTTTTGCGATTAATGGTCAGCGAAGCAGCAGAAAGTAGTTATAAATAGAACTGAGGCTTCGGCATCACCCTATATTATGGGTGTGCCGCAAGGATCAATATTGGTACCATTACTTTTTTAAATATAGATAAATGATCTTCTTTTTTACGCTAAAAATATATACATTTCTGATGTTTTCAAATTGATAGAGGTGAAACTCTTTAGAATGTTAAGTATTACACTAGTTTACAATAAATAACTTGCAATAAATAAATTTAGTGCCAACACAATAAAATAAATTAAATTTTCTTTGCCAAATGTGTTCTACATTTAGTAATAAGTTACAGCTCATGTCAAGTTGAAAAATTAAATACTTGAAAATGTGGGTTCTACAGTTATCACGAAAGATAACAGGTCAAATTTTTATAAAAATATTTTGATATTAATTTTGATGTGAATTGTTATAACTTCGCCACAGATGGATGATATTATTGCCTTATGTACATATTATGTAATTGTCACTTCTGGAAGTAATAAACTATATATTGCCAACAGAGGAGGGCGTGTTCCTGGCGCTGGACTTGGGCGGCACCAACTTCCGCGTGCTACTGCTGGAGCTGTCCAGCGGCCAGCTTGTTCGGGAGAAAGTCAAACAGTATCACATTAGGTGGGTATTTCGGTTTGATCAGGGCCTACTAACCCATCCGTGGGAGTCGTCAGTAAGAGGCGACTGAGGGAAACAAATCAGGAGATGGGCGGCAGAGTCTAAAAATAAAATAATAATCAATCAATCAAAATCTAAAAATAAAATAATATCGACTAAAAAAAAACTACGATTGCCAAGTCGCTTGCCAAGCATGGCAACTATGGCAAAATTTTATGAGACAATTTATGGGGGAGGCCTATGTTCGGCAGTCGACTTTAATAGCAGCCTATTAATTAACGGTAACGAGAGCATTTGGAGAAAGCATATAGTCAGTGGTAAATTTGTTATGGGATGTAATAATGACGATTTTGATGATGACGCTAATGTAACCTAATGCGGGCTAATGCTACGGCTGTCAATATGTTAGTAACAGTTTTATTTAATAAGTGATTAAAGATGACTAATATCTTTAATATACTGGATTTCCGCAAAGTAACGACTAATTCTATTAATCTAATATATAAAAAATAACTTTTGTTTGTTCGTATTTTATCCGCTGCCATACCCTTCATCAGATTGCGGTAAAACTTTGTCAACTTATTGCTTGCACTTGCGCGAAGCTACACTTAACTTACCGTAGATGGCGCGTGTATCGTACCGACAAATTTTAAATTTTGAAAATAATATATCACTGACTATAATACTTCAATAAATGTATTGTTAGTCCTAGTAAACAAAATAAATTTTCGAAATTCGAAACGATATTGCATGCCTTAAGCGCAAAACCTCAGACATACCTCAAAACCTTAAAACGAAATTGTACAACCAGTGCGTGTTGCCAGTGATGACTTACGGAACTGAGACGTGGTCCTTCACTGCTGGCCGTATGAGGAAGCTCAAGGTCGCTCAGCGAGCTATGGAGAGGGCTATGCTCGGAGTTTCTCTGCGTGATAAACTTAGGAATGAGGATATCCGCAGTAGAACCAGAGTGACCGACATAGCCCAACGGATTAGTAAGCTGAAGTGGCAGTGGGCCGGCCATATAGCTCGAAGAACCGACAACCGATGGGGAAGAAAGGTTCTCGAGTGGCAGCCTCGTACCGGTAGGCGAAGTGTAGGGCGTCCCCCCACGAGATGGAGTGACGACCTGGTAAGACATGCAGGAAGTCGATGGATGCAGGTGGCTCAGGACCGTGTTTTGTGGCATTCTTTGGGGGAGGCCTATGTTCAGCAGTGGACTTGTGAAGGGCTGTAATGATGATGATGAAGCGCAAAACGCGTGGGTATGTTCTACAAGCGCCTAAAAATCAAGATTCCAACGTTTTGTCGCATGAAATCGTATCTAACAATCATATTGAACATAAAAGCACATTCTCAGAAAGATAAATGTTTGTTGGACTTATTTTTTTAAATTCTATTAATTGCTATTATTACATAAAAAAGTGGTTTTAGTGGCTTATGGTGTAGATTTATCAAGTCCGCATGGAGAGGAGTAAACACGATAACTTTTGAAAATATCAATTGTTTAACTCAATCTATTTTTTAATCTCTTCATCTATTATGTGGGACGCAATGAAATGTAAATGGAACTTACATTCCATGGCTTCCCACATGATTTTGTTGACAGTTTAATTTTGTCTTGTTTAGTTATAATTATTTTTTTCCTGCTGAGAAATGCCCAAATTTTCGGTTTTTTAGCAGCCTTGTAATAATTTCTTTTACTAAATATACTTTGCCTCCCAGCTCAATCGCACTTCGGCACGGCGGCCGTCGTGAGTGGTCGTTTGCTTACAGCAGCGGTAATGGCAGTAAAAATATCGATCGCTGTAGGAATACAAAATATTCCAAAAACCAAATTCATACTTGACAAAAAAAATTCATATTTTTATAATCACAGATTTTTATTACTATATTTTATTTCACTAAAAGTACATTGTCAGAAAGATAAAGGCCTTGTTTTGTTAGTTATGATGAGACCTTACACCCGGACATAATAGAGTGACACACAGGTGTACTTCTAGATGTGCCCAGATTGGCCTCGTTTTGTTACTTATGATAAGATCTCATATCCGGACTTGATAGAGTGATCTGAAGGTGCACATCGGTGAATGCTAATGGAACTCCTCGAAGAGTAGAACTAGGTGTGCTGAGTTTGGCCTCGTTTTGTTAGTTATGATGAGACCTTACCTCCGGACTTTATAGAGTGACTTGAAGGTGTACTTCGGTGACTGCTACTGGAACTCTTTGACGAATAGAACCACAATTTACATTTTTTTTTTTCATTTTTTCACGATAAGGTTTTTGGTGAAAACTTGTGTGTAATTAAACTACTTTAAAAATTACGTATAATCGTGTTATACGTAATTTTTTATGCGCTTAAGGCATGCAAAATTGGATTTACCAATAGTTTATTTCTACAACTATTTCTTCTGCGGCACAACACGCCGGGTAACCAGCTAAATATTTAATAAATAATTACATGAGTTATTCACTAATTACAGTGACTCCCTTCGTCTCGGCCCCGGAGAAGATCTCTTCAACTTCCTGGCAGATTGTGTGCAAGATTTCCTTCACTGCGAGGGCATGGAGGACCACGAGCTGTCGCTAGGTAATTGATATCGATGACTAACAGCCTAAATACATCCTACTGTTGATTCCGGGTCTCCTCTCATTTATGGGAGGGTACTCGATTTTTTTTAAATTTATCTATCATTTACAAGTTGAATACAAAAGCATAAGTAAAATAGCATCAATAAACTACAAAGGTTTGTAAATAATGCTACCATCTACATCAATATTTCCATAGAATAGAATAGAATGATTTTTATTCCATATTGATTATTACATGATACTTATTGAAAGTCATTTTTTTATTTACCACTGGTTTGGAAAATACCTCTGTCCTGGGAAGAACCAGCAAGAAACCCAGCGGGACTTTTTTTTAAACATAATTTCACTTAACAATAGTTTTGTTTATACAATTATAAATGATTTTTATAGAACCAGCATGGTGGCTGGCGATCACTTTATTCCCAGGGGCTATTTTCATTCATATATTCATTGATATTATAATAAACCTTTTAGTACAGCTTTTCTTTAATAAAACTTTTAAACTTGTTTATTGACAAACTTTGAACATGTTCTGCGATTTTGTTGTAAAAGCGTATACATTGGCCCATAAATGAATTAGTAATTGAAATGGCATAAGGTTTGATAAAGAGAAATAGAATAATAATAACCATACATTGTGTTGCAAATAGTTTGATAATCGGGCTAATTATATAATTTTGATAACTTAGGTAATTGAATGACTGGATGCGTGGTAAGTTCATTTCTAAGTGCCAAGATTAGTTTGTGTGTAAGATCGATTCACTGTCCCGTATACCACATGTAGTTCAGTGCTATTAATCTTATTATTGTGTCTAAAAACGCAAAATTAACACTGTGAAAGTGTTAATTTTGTCTTAATATTTTCTCGCGATACGTTATTACGTAAATTAGAGGGTAAGTTATTTATTAATTTGCCTGCCGCGCGGCTCTAGGACGCGTGGGTGGACTTATTGGGGTGAAAGGATGAATAAAAATACAATAGCTAAAGGCACGTATGACTGCTGCAATGCTGTTTTAGTCTGTATCTGTGTGATATGGTATTAGGGTTGCCACCGTTTTTTTTGAAGTAATATAGTATTTTTCGAAAACGAGATGCATAAATATAGTGCTTTTGGAAGATTCAGTAAAAAGTACACATTTATTTTTAATCTTTATGTATTTTTCCATATGTATTTGTTATTGCTCTTAGCTTTGGCTGTCAATGATATCTTCACAATAATTTTAGGAAAATTCTTCCTTTAAAATAATTGTAGGAATCTCAGCACTTTCGATTCATATTAAAATAAATTAACAATTAATTTTTGATAAAATTATGTAACACATGCTCTATTTATTTCTTCTTTCCATTTGACATTCAAGACAGAAAAAATTATTTGCGTAAAACTTATTTGTTCTAGATTTCCTGTCACAGTTAGTATAAAATCGCGATAATTCAATAAGGGATAAAATATAACAATTATCGTACTATATTCTTTTTCTATAATATATAGTGAAATTAGAGCCGTAGTAGCTCAGATGGTTAGCGCACGCGGTAAATTCCAAAGTACGCGAGCAAACCTGGATCGATCAATGAAATTGTTAATTGTAATTTTAAGTGCTGATTTACCATGTGCTCGGCGGTGAAGGGAAACATCGTGAGGAAATCTGTATGTCTGGGGAATAGGAAACAAATATTTCGAAAACATGTGAAGTTTGCCAACAGGCATTAGGGCAGCGCGGCGGACACTTTCTTGCCTTAAACCCTCTCAGAAATGAGGGAGGCCTGTGCCCAGCAGTGGGACGTATACAGGCGTGTACTTTACTTTACTTTTATATAGTACAATTGACTGAAATATAGTACGATACTAAGTACGGTTGCCAACCCTATATCGAATAGTGAATATCCTTACACCACCATTACACGGTCAACCGCTAACCAACGCTTACAAACAAAACCAGGAAAAAAATCTGCCTCAAATTATAAAATATGTCTTTTAAACATATTTAATTTCTCAGATAATTTATCTAAGAAATCAAATATATTATGCAGGTTTCCTCGTGACGTAAGTGTTTAACACCAAGCATGTAATAAAACTGCATTTAAAATCAATCAACAATATCACTGGAGACGGGAACTAAGTAAAATGCGTGCTATTGACGACATCGAGGCGTCGCTATTAGTGTTAATAATTCTCTGAGTGGCTCTGGTCATATTATATAGTCTATAGTGTATAGTGTATATTTGTGGTAAAGCCATGCTGCAGCTATATTAATTGTGTAGTTGTAGCACAAATGGGTCAGCTCGACCGGGGTAGGACTACGCTCTCACAGAATACCGGCGTAAAATAGCAGCTTAATGCTGCTATGTTTCGTATGGTGAGTGTAGAGAACCGGAGACTCTTTTTACTGGAAAAGAGGCATTCCATCTTAGTCCTCACGGACGAAAACGCATCTGCATTTTGATTCGTAATTCAGGATAGATGTAAATGTCTATGGGCCACAGCATTCACTTACCATCAGGTGGACTGTGTGCTCGTTTGTCAACCTTATTCTATAAAAAAATACGTTTAATTTATACAAAAGTATAATTTTTATATATAAAAATTACGTGTCATGTTGTTTGTCCGCGATGAACTCCTAAACTATTGAACAGATTTCAATGAAATGTTACACTGTGTGCAGTTTGGTCAAACTTGAGAGATAGGATACTTTTTATCCCAAAAGTGACCTTCAATATTTTTTTTTATTGCGTATTTAAGGATTTTTTCATAGTAAGGGTCGTTGGAAAGAGCAGAACAACGTCTGCCTGGCCAGATGGTATTATTATAAAACAACATTTTCTGTAAATATTTAGAGAAACATGGAAAAATTGAGGTTTGATTTTGTTGTGAAACCAATAGCGGACGGTAGACCAAACATCATATGCATAACCTCAACTTGCTACACCTAATGGATAGATGGGGGGAGGGGGTTTGCCGTAGTTATCACGTTTGACAGGAAGGTTGGCAACCGTAGCTGTTTATTATTTGGAGTTGTTATCAAGAAGATGTTGCTGCCCATCTTCTGTTTTGGTTTCCCGCGGTCTTACGACACCTATGGGACGACAAGGGTTAGTGGATATTCTTACACTGATAGGGGAGACAGAACATGGTAAAGGCCATGTTCAGCAGTGGAGTTTTATTATATAAAAAAAAATTATAATATGTTTGTATTTTGTAATTGTGCCTTTGTCAGGGTTCACATTCTCGTTCCCGATGCGGCAGCACTCGATCTCGTCGGGCGAGCTGCTGACGTGGACGAAGTCGTTCTGCTGTTCTGGTATGCGGGGCGTGGACGTGGCGGCGCTGCTGCAGCGCTGCCTCGACGCGCGCGGGCTGCGCGTCACCGTGCAAGTGCTGCTCAACGACACCACCGGCACGCTGGTCGCTGGCGCACGTCTCGACCCTGATGTCGGAGTAAGTTCTGTTTGGAAGTGAAAACTTCTTTAAAATCGTTGTGATTTGAAACACATACGAAACATACGAAAAGGCGACTTTAAAAATGACAAAACATAAACATAGAGATATAATACAGCATACAGTGTTTTCTTTAAAGATGGTTAAGTAAATTAACTTTTAGCCGTTAATATAAATAGCCAGAAAAATTTAATTTGTTAAATAAATTAAATTAATAATAGTGGATAAAATTATCACATCCAATGCATTCATAACAATCCACGATTTCATAATTTACCGATTTATTTTAAATACAATCCGCCCCGGCTTCGCACGGGTAAATTCTGGATCTCGACAACAGCGCCACCTACCGGGTCCAATGGTGAATCTAAACCATCCAGTGATTCACTCAAACACACAAAAAAATCATCAGAATCTGTTTCGAGTTTTAGCGAGACTGTCGGGCAGCAAGAGAGTCGTGTTTAGGCCATCTAGCGTCTATTTTACGTTAATATCACTTTACCTATTGAATGAAATAGATGGCGCCATTACAAAGCAATTTTACTCGAAAGGAAATATCCTTTTGATACGTACACGTTATCTCTATTTCGTTAGTTAGTTGTCACCCCTGAATACTATGATGATATGCCTCGTTTCCAATAGAAATCATCTCTGGTTCACAAAATTCACCATACAAAACATAACAGCATTGAACTGCGTCTTTATGCTGGTATTATGTGCTGGCATTTACCGCTCGGGCTGCTAGCTTCAGCGTGACTCTACTGTTGCTCTACAAGTACCTACATAAAATATATTTTATATATTTTACAAGGTAGAATATGTCATATCTAGATCTCCAAATGCCAATACTTTTTTTTTATTATTATTATATTGGCTTCAAATACCATATTCATGATTTATTTTACATTTTTATAAATTTTTTGCTCATACGGAATTTTTAAGTCCAATTTATCCCCTGAAATTAATCCCTAGGTCAAAATTCTACTTAGTATACTTGAAGTTTTAATTTGAAAGCAAAAACATTAAGATTATGTTTATAAATTTGTAATTTAAAAAAAAGTTTTAATGGCATTTAGATTTATTTTTTTATGATTATTCAGCCACATCACGTTATCTCTACGTTAAATTTACTATTACAATAATTTTATAGAAAATTACTTATAAAAAAGGAGGCACACCAATAAGATTGCTGAAGTATATGGTATTCTTTAAACGTAGTAATTATAGTAGTAGCTAGGTTCCAAGTTTTTATAACTTGCTTTCGAAAGGATTTTAAATTTTAAATATAGCTCAAAATCTGATGACAATGTTCAAATACATAATTTTTTTTTAATTTCACTTGTTATTATAAAATTGACTAAAATCTACGGTTCATATAATGATTTCTTAAATTTACGTAAACCTAATTTTACGGATTTTATCACGTTTAATTTTAACTTTTTCATTCCCGGCGTTTCGGGTGCTTTACAGTAGCCATGATCGCGGGGGCAACCCCATTAAATTAGTTTCATTTAATACCTGGGGTTTATATTTCCCATGGTACTGACAGTCTAATTTATCAGCCTTCTCATTAAAGTGTCCCTGTCTCTTGTCGCAGATCGCCGTGATAATGGGCACCGGTTCTAATGGATGCTACGTTGAGCGTGCGGAGCGCGTGTCGCACTGGGAGGCTGCGCACGACCGCGTGCGAGACGTGGTCGTCGACATCGAGTGGGGCGCCTTCGGAGACAACGGCTGCCTCGACTTCCTGCGCACCGAGTTCGACCGCGAGGTCGACAACAACTCGCTGCTTGCCACATCTTTCACGTTGGTTTTATCTTCGATTTTTTCGACTACCCACATTTCTTACATAGAGTTTGATCGATATCTTGACAACAATTGACTGCCTCTTTGATCTGGTGGTCAGAAACTTGGTAGAAGCCCGGAGTCAGGAAGCTGGCGGTGTTTCAAGCCTCAAGTTTCAAGTTTCAGGAAGCCTGGGTAAACACGTATAGCCGTTGGTTTTGATGGTGTTGGATTACCGTCCCATCGGACTGTGAGAGTGAGAGAGTAGATAGCGCACCTGCTTGCACATATACTTGGGCACTATAACCCTGTACTGTTCAGATCGCAACGTAGTATCTGGCCAAAATTAGATCTGGAGAACATTTTTATTATTATTTTTACGTGTATATCAAAGACTAGCTGCTTGGCATTACTGAATTAAAAAAAAAGTTAGCCAACTCAGTAGCGTTGCCGCGGGTTCAAATCCTGCACAGAATAAGTGTCTGTATGGCAAATTATTGTTCTGAGCGGGATACAAATTCGTAGCTAAACGCTTGATCACACAAGTACGGAGTATAAAAAAAGTATATTTATTTATTTATTTTATTCGTAACATGAAATTTGCACAAACTCTTCGCATATGTAAAACGTTAAGAAAAATCTATAATACAAAATCTTCTATATTTAGTGATGAAATCGATTACATGTGATGGACACCCGCCCACGAGTTTGTAATGTTGAATACACCGCCATCCAGTGCTCATGAGTTTTTGAAAAACATTAGCGCCCGTCCGTGAGGATCGTCTATTTTCTCTTTTATTAGCTTCGCGTCTATCTATATATCTATGTAACGGAATCTTTTAATGTAATCTTACCAACTTGTAGACGGCCTTTGACTTGAAAACTTGCACTCGTATCAAAGACTGATGACAATACAATAATTTAGTAACTTTATTCTAGTACTAGCTGTTCCCAGCCACTTCACCCGAGTGCAATTTATTACGATTTATTATGGGTTTTAACCTTTTTGCACAGAACCCTAATTTCTTTTCTTAAATAAAGCTACTTTTAGCTTAAGTTTATTTATTTATTTTATTTTCAAGGGAAACATTTAGTCTAATACATAGCACATATCAATTTTACATTTAATAATAAAGTTTCCACAGTTATGTTACAAGTTACTCCTTATAACATTTAGCTATCTGCCAGTGAAAGTCCCGTCAAAATCGGTTCAGCCGTTTTGGAGATTAGCTAGAACAAACAAACAGACAGGCAGCTTAGTTTTAAGGTGTTACATTAAAGCTTTTTAAATTTAATATAAATTAAAAATAAAATCATGCATTAGAAATAGCTTCGTTCCACCATCATACCCAGGAGCTATTGTCATCTATATTAATATTTGTATTTTTTTTTGGATTGGCTATTTTGTTGAACCAGAAACACGTGTCGGTTGACAGGTTTGAGAAGTACATCGGCGGCAAGTACTTGGGCGAGGTGTTACGCGTGACGCTGAGTGCTCTGGCGCGGGACGGTCTGTTCCCCGCCGCGCCCGCAGAGCTCACCTCCGCGCACCTCAGCATGTTCGAGGAGTAAGTCGAGCACCTCTTATATTAATCACTGCTTCATTGCTTTAGTGGTCTTTAACGTGATTGCTGAACATAAGGTCCCGGGTTCGAATCCCGGGTCGGGCTAGGATCAGTTATTGGGTTTTTCCTACCAAGAAATTCTCAGTAGCTGCCCGGAGTCGGGAAGTTGATGGTGTCTCACTCTCACCCCCGTACCTGGGAAAGCACGTAAAGCCGTTGGTGCTGTGCCTGATCTCTCTCCGGTAGTGTTAAATTATCGTGCCGACGGACTGTGAGAGTGAGGGATTTGAGAGTGCACCTGTGCTTGCGGATACTCTTGGGCTCTTGTCCTGTGCAGATGGGTAGTCTCCGTTAAGATTGTTTGCCGTGACCGAAATTGGATCTGGAGGACTTTATATTTTTTGTACCAATTACGGCTTAGTGATTAATTTACCTCATCATTGTTCTTCATCACCACTAACCTGTAAAAGTCCTCACTGAAAAATTTGCGGGGGAGGTACCTATGCTTTATGTGATAGAATTCATTTTCTGTCTAAAACTCCGTTTAAGTTGGTACACGTCACCTATTGGATTACATCTGCCGCTGTGAACATTTACAGGACATAGTATGTATTTCAAGTGAGGCATTTCATCTTACTCCTCAGGGGTAGGAACGCATGTGTATGCTCCTTTGTTTGAAGTGGTTTGCAAGTGTCCATGTGCTGCAGTAGGCACTTACCGCCAGGTAGAGTATGTGGGTACTCTCGTGTATGGTTGTCTCGCTGAGGCGGTGCGTGCGTGTGCGTGTGCCTGCACTTACCAGTGGTCGGCAAATGTGAGTTTACTTGTGGCTTGTCTTGCTGAGGCTCTGCATGCGCGTGTATGGGTACTCTCATATCTGCTTGTCTCACGGGAGGCGGTGTAAGGTGGTACGTATGACTGCAAGTGTGGGTACTCTTGTAGCTTATTTCACTAAGGCTGTGCATGCGTGTATGACCTTTACAGTGGAGTGTAAGTGAGGTACTCTCGTATAAGCTATGCTTGTAACTCAGAGGGTGACTGTGCGTATGCGTGTGTGCCTTTACTAGTAGAGTGTAAATATCGGTACTCTCGTGTAGTAGAGAGTGTGTCTTTTATATTCTTGTCTCACTGAGGCGGTGCTTGTGTGCGTAGGGAAAGTTGCGCGGGAGGGTGGGTGCGCACGGTGGCAGCGCTGCGCGAGGCGTGCGGCGCGGACATCTCGCGCGCAGACGCGCTTGTCGCGCAGCACGTCGCACGCGTCATCTCCAACCGCGCTGCCCAGCTCGTCTCCGTCTGTGAGTACCACTGCCTTCACAGCTTCACACTCATCTTATTCACATTACAATTGGGCGATACAAATCATATAGTTTACGTGAGGGTAATATGGTCACTTCCATATAACTCACAAACTACAGCCTTTTTAGCATAGTTGACTCTGTGATACGATAGCTCTTTATCAGTCGTGGTTGAACCATGTTGCAGCTATATTATGGTTGTACCACGAATAGATCGGCTTGATCGAGGACTATGCTCTCACAAAATATAAACGTGAGTGTAGAGAACCGGAGTACCTTTTAAATGTAAACGAGGCATTCCATCTTAGTCAAGTGTGACAACGCAACTGTTCTTTGATTTTAAATTGAGGATAAATGCAGATAACTATGAGCCACATCATTCCCTTACCATCAGGTGGACTTTCCGCTCGCTTGTCAGACATATTTTATAAAAAATTCCGTCGATATGGTCACTTTCGTATAACTCTAAAACTTGTTTGTATACAGGATATCCCGAAACTCAACGTCAAGCGGGACGATAAGCTAGATTGTACAAGCTCTGGCAAAAAAATCCATGTTACTTGGTTAAGTAATGATAGGTATATTTATGAAAATGTTGAAAATCAACACCTTAGATCACATGTTTAGGTGCTGTGATCACAAACTTCTAAATTTTTCAGTGTTTTTTTTAAATGTTAACCTCAATAACTATGCTATTGATTGCAGTCATAAATCCAATAATTAATATTGTTAGTCTAGTACAAAAAAAAGTTTAATTAAGTCCGCAGTTTATTAACAAGATTTTACGGACAGAGGAAACGACCTTTAAAAAAGACGGTTGTTTAAATACTAACACCACACCTCCAATACCAATTTAAGGGGAATATGTGGACGGGAATTTTAAACGAACAAATAATTGATGGCGACAACTACCTTAATTTTTTACAAAATCATTTGCCGAATTTATTAGAATACGTACCACTCAAGATATACCTGGATATGTGTTTTCATTAAGATGGTTGCCCAGCGCATTATGCTCGTCCAGTACGGGATCATCTAAACACAGAATATCCCGGTTTGGACGCCTTGGCACAATTTTATGGCCTCCTCGTTCTCCGGACCTAAATTCACTTGACTTCTTTTACTAGAGCGGCATAAAAGAAAAAGTGTACTTGAAACCAATGCAAAATCTAGGCCGAACTACGCCGCAAAACAGCTGAAACAGCAGATAAAATAAACTCAAGGATTTGAGAACAAAGATATTCATACTTTATGTATTCCAGTTAGATACTACGTGAACTCCACAGAGTTAGGAATCTATTTATGGGGCAAAGTACATATACATATATTAAAACAAAATCTCAAAAAATGTTTAATGTAAACTTTAGTAAACAAACACTGTATAAAAAAGAAAACCTGGTCAAGTGTGTGTCTAGCCAAGATTAGTGAAAAGATCTTTTTTGAGACGATACAGTCTGTATTCGTGCTGAAGGCAAATAATTTGAATATTTAATTTAGTTTAAAAAAAATCTATTACAATATTTCCTAGTGTTTCATTATTGTTAACTCGCTAAATAAGATAGGGCATCATTAATATACTTTGATATTTTGTTGTCCGAGTTTTTATGTTGTAAATTTTTGATAATCGTGATAATATTTTTCATGGAAAGACAAGTAGCAAGTGTTGCACCATTTTGAAATCTTAATTAAACGGGCCATTTTTTTAAAGCAACTTGCCTATGGTAGTATAGTATATTTTTTTTTAAAGAGAAGCCGTCAAATTTATGTGTTAAAACGTTTTTAACCATGACTTAATTAAACGTTTTTTTTTTGCACTAAACTGACAATATTAATTATTGGATTTTGACTGCAATCAATACCATTGTTATTTAGGATGACATTAAAAAAAAACACTGAAAAATTTAGAAATGTGTGATCACAGTACCTAAATATGTGATCTAGGCTGTTGATTTTCAACATTTTCAAAAGTATACCTACTATCACTTAACCAAGTTACATGGATTTATTTTTTATTTTTGCTAGAACTTATGCAACCTAGCTTATCGCTCCGTACCCGCTTGACGTTGAGTTTCGGGACTACCTATATATGTATTGTTAAAATAGAGATGTAACACTAATGTATCTTCTCTGTCGTTTGTGTTGGGAAATAAATAAATTATTATTATTATTATCGCTCTCTGATACAATAGCTCTTCGTCAGTCAATCAAATAACATATGGTCAAAATGGCGCTGTTTTATTGACGCCATTTTGACAGTTGACACTACATTAAAAATGGTAATTAGCTGTTTTTTTTAAGTAGATTTTTCGAAAAAATTTCTAATTACTGCCCAAGATTGTTTGCTGTTTTATTATTATAATATTGGTTATTGTTTAAGGCTTTGTGTTTTTGTCTCTGTCCTCCTCCCAGTTTTGGTTTTATATGGCACAAAGTTTTAGGTGACCATATTACTCTCACTTACCTTATACAACATCTCTGACACTTGGAAACTTGTGCAATGTTCGATATTTATGTATCGGGCGACAGACTAACTTTGTATTAGATACTGCTTCAGTGCAGCGTCACTTCACAGATCATCTAACTTCAAACTCAAATAAATAATAATACCGTAAAATATCTATAACACGATTCACTAATTCAAATTTCGAACGAATCAATTACGAGTTATTATATTTGAGTAAAACAGATTATCATAGATGTTAACCTAACTTCTGTCAAAAATACTAAAAGACGCCGAACTACATGACAACCTGATTATGGTATTACTTGTGAGGAGCCGATGTTCATGTGTAAACTTGTGAATAAGATGAACTTTACTTTACAATTCAGGTTCTGATTATCTTAAAATAGGACTACATTCTCCTCTGTACAGAAATTGTCAATGCACAATACAATATTTTCATTATTTGATATATTTAGTGGACCTTTAGCTCTGTCCACGGCACTCCCTCATATTTATGAAATTTTATTAAAATAGTTTCCAGTTTACTATAATTTTGGAAATTTCATTGGAAAATGCCAGATTATCTATAGAACTTTGCCCCACCCAAAAGTGTGGTGTACATGAATGCCGTATGCAATATTTTTTTCTACTTTATTACTTCATCCAAATTATATAATTTGAAGTCTCTAGAACTTGCATTTATTTTTAAAAAGGAATTTAATAATTACATTTACCTTATTTTTTAGAACAGCATTAATTGCAGTTCATTGTAATTTCAGAATATATATTGTCAGTCTAAGTCCTAGTCATGTAAACGAGTTATATTATTTACAAAATGATGTGTCTGAAGAAGTTGTAAATATTTACAGCTTAGTAACTAATTTTAAGGCAACGGCAGGTCCATAAATTATCAACTATATAAAAAAGCTATAAAACTAAATATATCCGTTGCTAAGATCTCCATATTGAAAGAAGAGTTAAGATTGTAAATCAAAATGTGGACACAAAATGCCCCTGCATCCTGCATTATGCGTATGTATGCATTTATTCGTACAAAGAAACGCAGATGTTATTAGAAATCTTTTTTTTTAAATAATATTTTACCGCAAGTTGTACAAAATAACGATTTATCACAAAAAAACTTTAAAATTCATAAGATTATTTTTCATACTTTTACCTTTTTTGTACAAGGTGGGGCACGATCTGGCATTCTCCTTTGAACTTCGCGTTTTCTCTATTATATAAGTTATATAAGCATGCTGTGTTCCTTGATTTAGAACTAGTGATATGCCCTGGATAAAGTCTATTAATGTGGCGCTATTTAGATTTAAGATAATAAATTTGTCAAAAAAACATGTGTGCAGTTCACACGTATTTTTTTGACAAATTGATTATCTCAAAATAAAAATATTTCACGACAAATGATTTATTTAATATGATAATTGTCAACCTCAAATACAGCATAAAATGTAACATGAAAGTTTAATTTAGTACCAAATAAATTGTTTAGAGATATAGAGCCTTAGTGTAATAAAATAATATTTTCTTTCGAGTAAAATTGCTGAAGTTATCATTTCTACAAATAACTAGCTGTGCCCCGGGGTTTCACCCGCGTCATCACGTGTCCGAGGTGTGCGACAAGACCTAGTTCAAGCATTTTATAACGGCTAGGGTTTAAGCGTCGCGTTGTTCGCGCGCCCAGCCAAGTATTGAATTATTTTAATTTTACATTATCTCTTAAACTATGCGTCCAAATAACATGGTATACAGAACAAAGTTTATCTTCATAAAATTGTCTTGATGATGAAGTAACTTTCGTTCGTAAGGATAAATAGGCCATGCCAAATAATAACGCTCATGGATCACTTTTAAATTTTCAATATTTTTTGTCACAAAATACCAAATTATGGCTTATGTATAAGAAATAGACATATGGTATCGCGGACTTTTTTTTAGACGGAGTAAAGGTTTATATTTTTCTAGAACATTGTATTTACGTATCCCTAACGATAACACCAGCGTACGCGGATAAATCATTTCGGGAGTGCTTTTTCTTCGGACTTGCTTAACAAATATCCATATTTAAGGCTAGTTGAGTAATATAGCTTAATGCTAGATAGTCCATACTATTCCACATGAATCTGGCTATAATATACAAAAAGAAATCGGACTGGTAGTTCCAGAGATTAGCGCGTTTAAACAAACAAAAAAACTCTTCCGCTTTATTATATTATTAGTATAGATGTGTATGTGTGTGTGTGCAGGCATCGCACAGCTGCTGCGGCGCATGGGGCGCGCGCGCGTGGCGGTGGCAGTGGACGGCTCCGTGTTCAAGCGCCACCCGCGCATACAACTGCTCATGCACAAGTACATCGCACTGCTGGCACCGCACCACCCGGTCAGTATATATATATATACCTATATATATATCGGCAATTGTATAAAGTAGTTCATATTTAAATAATATAGTATAGGAAAGGATGTTAAACTTCCTCTTTTGTTTACGCAAGTTATCATAAACACAATTACAATAGCGCAACACGCTACACAAACATGAAGCAATGCTGCAGCTATATTAAGGTTGTAGTACGAATGGGTCAGCTCGACCGGCGTAGGACCAAGCTCTCACAGAATACCATCGTGAAATAGCAGCTTAATGCTACTGTGTTTCGTCTGGTGAGCGTAGAGAACAGGAGACGCTATTTACTGAAAACGAGGCATTCCATCTTAGTCCTCAGGAGTGATTGTAGTGCGATCCATTCGTGCTACAATCATACTACTAATATAGCTGCAGCATGGCTCTACCACGTATAAGCACAGCTCTATCACGTATATGTAAATACATTGTTGATAGTTCAACTAAGTTACCCCGTAACACCAACCCTCATATGGACATATTAGAAATTAATAATTCATGCCAGTTGGTGTGTTCATAGAAATTTAAAGTAATGGTAACCTATTACAAATCATTACATCAGAATGCTAAAAAAAATACTGTAGGTGTATTTTTTAACAGACCGTAATAATCTAATCTAATAATTTTTTTCCGTGTTAGAGCCATGCTGTAGCTATATTATTAGGATAGTTATGGCATGAATGGGTGAGCTCGACCGGGGACGGAGTACGCTCTCACAGAATACCACCGTAAAATAGCAGCTTAACTATTTCGCTGCCCCGTGCACTATATCGATCATAGCTATTGTCTTACTATTGTGTCTGAAAACCGGACAGTGAAAGTGTTAACATTGCTGTGTTTCGTATAGTGAGTGTTGAGAACCGGAAACTCGTCCACAACGCATCTGCATTTGGATTCGTAGTTAGGGATAGATGTAGATAAGCCAGAGCAACTAATTACCATCAAGTGGACTGTGTGCTCTTTTGTCACCCTTATCCTATAAAAAAATTACTTCTGATAATGGACGGGATGACGTAAATACTTGTTATTGTTGTATTTGTAATTCACTGGATGTGATGAGGTGTTTCAGAGCACCTACTTAAGTCACTTTTTACGACACCTTCAAAACAAGTGATGAATCCTTTTGCTTGTTATATCATGAATAGAATCAGAAGAAAATTAATTATATTAAAAGGCTATAATGAGGTCCAAAATGAATGAGGCATTATTAATAAAAATGACCTATTTCTTCCGATGATGCCTCTCTAAGAGGCGAAACGCGAGTCGTTTTTCCAATAGTGGTGTGTGTTTTCTCGTGTAGTGGTGTTGAAAGTAATTGTGTTAGTTTTATATAAGTTTATTTATTTTATATTAGCTAATTAATTATCGCATCTTTTATGTCTTTAAAAGATGACATGAACTAAATTTCGATATTAATAAGTCAACATCATGTTCAGTTCACGCTGCTGGGCGCGGAGGATGGCAGCGGCAAGGGCTCGGCGCTGACAGCTGCCATCGCGGCCCGCGTTGCTGCGCGCAATTCGAGCCTTGCGAGCGCCTAGCACGCCGCCATCTTGTAAGCGCCGACATCTTGTGTAGACATCGTTTCAAGATATATAAACTATACAGAAAGAGCAGAAAAGGCAATAGAAACCAGAATATATCTTTAAATTTGATCATAGTATATTTTTGTTAAACATGTTAGGTAATTAAAATTTAAAAAATGGGCCATATATGTACATAATTATTTTTTTTCTATGTAAACTTACATGCCTCGTTTAGGCCAAAAGAAATTATAATAATTTTATAAAATTGAATCTACTAAGCTATAATGTCACTATTGATCGCAATATTTTGAACTTATAAAATAATTTGAATATTGTATAAGAAAATTTGCAATATATGGTATTTCTTGAAAGAAATTTTTAACGTATATACATATTTAAACACCGTTTTATCAACGTATAGGTTTACATTTAACTGTACGTGTGTAATAAATGTTTACATGAAAGCTGGCCTGAACAAATAAAAATTAGTTGTGCTCAGCTACGGAAAGTAAGTTTATTATTGGTAAGTTAGTAGACGCGGTGATGTGCCCTACTTTGCCCCCTTTTTTATTTATTAAAGTAAGGATGACATACTACCACATAGTCCATCTGATAACTACCTAGTTGGTCAAGTGTTTGTAAACGCGACTATTGATCATGAAATCCCGGGTTCGAATTCTGGGTAGGGCCAAGAAAAGGACTAAATGAGTTTTTCCGTCAAGAAATTCTCAGTAGCTGCCCGGAGTCAGTTGACGGTCTCACCCCATGCTTTGGAAAGCACGTGAAGCCGTTGACCCTACGCCTGATCTCGCCCGTTCGTGTCGGTTTACTGTACCATCGGGCTATTTGAGTGAGGGAATAGAGAGTGCATATCTGCTTGCGTACACATTTGGGCACTATAATCCTGTCCTGCGCCGATGGCTAGTCTCCGTTGAGGCTTGCCACCGTGACCGAAATTCGGTCTGGAGGACATTATTCTGTCTATAATTTAAATTCTACTGACTTCTATCAACCAACATCTATCCTCGATTTAGAATCAAAATGCAAATGCACACTCACCCCTGAGAACTAAGATGGAATGCCTAGTTACCATTAAAAGACATTACTTCTTAGTGTTCATATGTGATAATACACTTGTATTTTCTTTGGAGTTGATAGCAAGTTGATGATAGTGTAGCGGCGGTATCTATGGGCCACAAGATACATTTACTAAAATGTGGACTGGATGAATTGTCACTTTATAGTTTTATAAGAAAGATCTAACCTTTTAATTTAAATTTACACCAGAGTATTTTAGCGGACTTCACATATTCTTGATATATTGTTTCTTAAATAAAATTAGATATCAGGTTAAGATTCGATGATCTACGATCGACGATGTGTACAGATGTGTGTGACGAGTGGTACAGGCGCCGGGTAATTCACACCTTAATATCCTACTAGAGTTCCACGGGTGATTTCTTAATCTCGACAATATTGCCACCTACCGGATCCAAATGTGAATTTATACCATCTAGGAATCCATTTAAACATACACAATAAATTTCATCAAATTCGTTTTATATTAATTATCGTGTCTTAAGGATTTAAAAATAATTTGAGAAGCTGTGAAGTCCGGCTACACGCATTGGGGCAACGCAGAAACTTCCCTGCTCCAAAAAACGTCTCAGAAAAGAGATGACGGTTGAATTCAACAGATGGTATATTACAAATCACTACCGAATATTTTTTTAAATTCTTCACAATTAAATGTACATATTGCATACATATAATGAACTTGTTCAGGCAAGCTTTAATTAAACATGGATTGAATTTAATGAATGACTCGCTGCAATGGATTGCAATCTACGACCGATCTGTGACCACTACATACTCATAAAGTGCGGGCGCTGGTTGGGTATAAAATTGCACTTATATAATTTTTAAATTAATAGAAAAAACTCCACATAGTGGACAAAATATATTTTTATAGTGTTTAGTGAGAAATCATCAATTGTGACTGTGATTAGTGTGTGAGCGTCCAGACTATTGATGACTGTGTGTGCGTGTTTTTGTTCATGGGAACGTGGTAGGGTGTGTGCGTAAAGTCGGATTAGTTTTTAGTTTGTATGTGATATGCATTTGTAGATGTAAGTTTAATGTATAAATAATATATAAATAAATTAAATGTGCAAAATTAAGTAGAACAGCAAAATGAAAGACCTGAAGGTACTTTGTCTTTTCTTTAATGTTTTGCTATATTAATTTTTTTAAATACAATTTTTTTTTCAATCAGGAAATTAGACTAAGATTTAAATTTTGATACTGTAATTGAGTAAAAGTCTTTAATTCCTTCTGATATATCTTGTATATTCATAGTGTATAAAGTTTGTTTAGTTACTTTATTAAGCTCTTTCTAAGGTTAGTTAATATATTTAGTGCCATATTTTTCAAATAGCGTTCTGATTTTTAACTATCCAAAATTATATATTTTTATAATAAAACTATCCAACCGAATACTATCTTCTCATAATTTCATTAAAACCTAAAAAATATATTGATACATGTTGGAATACGAATCCGGAAAATATTAAAAAAAATCTCATATACTCTAAAGTAAACTACAAAAAAATGGATAAATTTTCTAAATTTTCTGTGTTGCCATTATGCGGGATATGGGTACGACTTGTTTCCAGAACAACATATATTTTCATGATCTCTCGGATGACCACTACGTAACATACCATAACTGTTTATGTAGTGATACGAATCCTCACTGGAGCCGAATTTTGAGTAGCAACACTAAGGATACGAGTAATTAATAGCTTACATCTTCATTTATAAGCCACGTGCATAAAGTTTACTCATAGCAACTTTTCGATCGACACGTGGTATCATGGCGCCATCTGCAAACCTGCGCTTGAGTTATTATTGTTGCCACCATAAAAATTTTATATAATATTTTTGGGGTAATTCGGCTAGTTTTGCTGGGTATCTGTTACGCTAATTCTCTATTATTCTCTGAGTGTTACCAGTGAAGTGTCATAACTGTTAATATGTATTACACTATAGCGAGCTTGTGGTGCAACTTAATGATTAGGATGCGGCAGTGACACATTCTTTGTCATTTTCTCAGAAGAATGACATTAAAGTTAAGGATGCAGTGGACATGGAGCCTATTAAAACACCTCCGGAAGAAAAAGCATTTACGTTAGTTTCTGATAGGTTTCAAATTTTGGACCCATTATTAGATATTATCAATATTACCAGTTCGTTATTTCTCGAGTGCTCAAGGAAAACTCAGGCCGATTCTCGACTGGTCGGTGGGAAGGCGGTTCCGTATATATAATATCAAGAATATTTTTTGAGAAATTAAGTAAATATCTGAAACCGATAGGACATCAAGGTAGAACGTTGATAAATCGTTGATATCCTCCAGTACGTAGTACATTATAACACATTAGACGTGAGAAAACATCGTATCGCTTTCCGGTCCCGTAATAACAAAGTTTTTGGCTATTAATATTGCTAAGCGTTCGACGTGTTTACGAATTAACTCAAATAATAATTTATCTATGACATCGCTTATTATGTTGTACCGTTGTCGTACTGCTCAATCAAGAAACAGCTTTGTAATAATTACGCATCTCATTATTGCACGCCTCATAACGCAATGCGTTTGAGGTAGTGCTTTACTCCCGACAAGTCAAAGTCAAGTAATTTCGTGGTCTATTTGGGTTATGCTATGGCATTAGGTTTATATAATTTTGGAGAAGACAAACCAACACCACTACACTAGGAAAGACACACCACCGTCGATAATACGACACGTGTTTCGTCTCCACACGAGGCATCCTCGACTGAAGTAGTCTCTACGGTGGCTGACCGCGTAGCAAAATTCATTTTTAAAAACTTTAATATAATTTATTTCCGCAAAGTAACGCCTGATTTATTAATTAACTAAAAACATGTTTAGGGTACAGATGGTTTCTAATTATACATAATAGCAAATGAGTACATCACATTTGTTTGTTATTGTATTTGAATTTTGTGTATAGGATTCCATTAAACATATTTTAATGTTATTGTAATATTTAGTAAAATTTTTTGAATGACACAAGTTTGTAATTGTTTTGTAAAACGTGGCAGCTTTATTGTACTACTTAAGGTAATCGACTATTAGATTATTTATAACAAGACGTTTGAAAGTGTTAATATGTAATAATATACACATTTTATATTCTTTGCTTTGTGTTTCTTTCCATACCATTTATTTTTAAGATTTTCAAATGTGATTTTTGGTTAGGTTATATGTAAAGGTAGCGTAAGATAATCTGTCAGCACATTTTGAAGTTTTACTTCTTTTGGAGTGTTTGGGAAAAATGATGCGAGTGAATTTTTACGATGCGCGCGCACACCGGCACCTAAAAGCAACACCATGAAGTTGTTACGATGTGTGAGCACGCTGACACCTAAAAGCGACAACTTCAGTGGGTAATTGTCTCTCAATTTTTTTTTGTTTTGTTACGCTAAAGAATAACTTTCTACGTGCGTACATAAGTACACACACAATTTTGTTATCTGTGAGAATGGCTGCGATGTTCCCACTTTCTATGACGTCGATATAACACACCTATAGCCTTTTTTTTCTTTATCAGCACGTAACAGTCCAATGTACAATTTCCAATCGGCCTCTCTGATTGTAGGAAAAAAATTATATGTGGCATATGCAATACGAAATACAGCATTGGGACAGTCGTATGGATCGAAGAACCTATAACCGATGGGGAAGAAATATTCTTCAGTTGCAGCCTCGTGCTGGTAAGCGAAGTGTAGAGCGGGACATTTAGGAAGTCAATGGATGTGGGTGTCTCAGTTGCGTGTTTTGTTGCGTTGCTTGGGGGAGGCCCATATCTTAAGTATTGTGAGGGGCTGTAATAATGATGATAATTATATATGAAATGGTATACCGCCATCTTTTTGAGGTTATGAGGAGTTTTTGAGCCTTTTCTTATAGGTGCCTCTTACAACAAACA